CTTGCACAGATGAGCATCTCTATGAACTTTGCTTTTGGGCTGTCTCTCATGAGGGGAATGAATGTGCTCTCCCTGGGAGCATCTCTGTCCCAGACTGCACCTGTGTCACCATCTGGCCCTGTGTCATCAGCTGGGGGCAGAGGGATGCACAGGGAGTTTCTCAGGCTTGTGCTCTTCAAGGTCCCTTCCTGCTTTGGGGCTGGGCTGGGGCAGGGGTGGTGCACATGTGGGAGGACGGGGCAGGACCTCCCTACGAGCAGGACCTCATCCTTCTGACCCCTGCCACGCTCACACCAGAAGGTGCTGGGAGGGCACGACAGCGGGGCATGGGGGCACCTCCCCTGACCCAACCACTGTCCCGCTCTCTCCCCCTTGCAGGCTCTGGGCAGGTAAGGAAGCACTGCCCCAAGGTGGGGTACTGCTCCAGCCAGTGCTCCAAGGTGGACGAGTGGTCCTTCTCCTCCGACTGCAAGTACTACTGCTGCATCCCGCCCAGCTGGAAGGGCAAATAGGAGCTGAAGAGGAAGCAGCTGGAGAAGAGGAGACACCGCGGTGGCTTTGGGAGCAGCTTCTCAACTGTCTAACCCAGTCATCATCCCCTCCTCTCAATAATTAAAAAGGGAAAAAAAGGAGATGTAACTCTGGTGCGTGTGATGTGGTTATTGTGTCCCCACGATCCCACAAAAAGCATTAGGACAGGTTCTCCAAGCTCAGTTCAAACGCTCATCAGCACCAAAAAAGCCTGAACACCTGCTGACAACAAGCTGCAGAGCTGCCAGTGGTCTTATGGGGTAGGGATTTAGGAAGAAGTTATTGTTTTCCCACTTGCCTTCTCTATGGCCATGAGCACAAGCCTCTGGAGACCAGAGAGAATCTTTCAGTTCCTTGATGCTTTTTCAGCCTGCAGGTTATCTGTAAATGTCTTAAAAACTGTGGGTAGTTCAGCAATGTCTCCTCTAAGCATGAGACAGCCCTCTTTCCATGATAATACCAGCCAATCCCCAGAGGTGGGCAACACAGAAGTAAATAAGCCCTCACAGACCTCATGCAACGGATTTTATGTCCTCTTTGTGCCAAACCCCCAAGACTGCTCAGTCAGTGCTTCTCTGTTATTTACAGATCAATACGGTACTTAAGGTTTGATTTCTGCTCTCCCTAGCTCAGACTGGGTGTGTTGGAGCAGAAAAAGGTACAGAGAAGAGCCATGAAGGTGATCAAAGGTGTGTGAAACCTCTGCAGCGGGAGCAGTCATGCGCCTCTGCACAGAGAAACTGGTTAGAGACTCTCACTAATGCATTGGCAGGTTCCTACTTTGACACCAGTCTAGGAGAGATAACAGAGTTTTGAGGCTTCTCAGAAAGAAATCGAATTCTTTCTGCTGCATCGCTTTTAGGTTTGAAGGTACAGGTACCCCATGGGTATGTGGACATATGCAGGGAATAAGAGTCTGTGGTGGGTTGGTGGCTGGAGGCCAGGTGACCACCAAAAGCCACTCTATCACTACCCCTCCTGGACTGGGGAGGGGGAGAAGAATATGACAAAAAGCTCGTGGGTCAAGATGAGGACAGAGAGAGATTGCTCAGCCATTGCCATCACAGGAAAAAAACAGACTCAACTTGGGGAAATTAATCTAATTTATTTCCAATCAAAGTCAGGGTAGGATAATGAGAAATGAAAACAAATCCTAAAATTCCTCCCTCCCTCCTGTCTCCTTCTTCCTGGGATCAACTTCACTCCTGATTTCTCCACCTCCTCGCCCTCAGCAGTGCAGGGGGACAGGGAATGGGGGTTGTGGTCAGTTCATCACATGCTGTCCCTGCCTCTCCTTCCCTCTGCAGGGAAAGGACTCCTCACACTCTTCCCCTGCTCCAGCCTGGGGTCCCTTCCACGGGGTGCAGTCCTTCAGGAACAGACTGCTCCCACACGGGCTTCCCAGGGGGTCACTGCCTCCTTCGGGCATCCCCCTGCTCCGGCGTGGGGTGTCTGCTCCACCGTGAGCGCCCGTGGGTGCAGGGCACAGCCAAATGCCTCCCTCCGCCCTTCTTCACTGACCTTGGTGTCTGCAGGGTTGTTTCTCTCACATATTCTCACTCCTCTCCGGCTGCAGTTGAGCAGCAGCTTTTTCTCCTTCTTAAATATGTTATCCCAGAGGCGCTTCCCCCCTTGCTGATGGCCTCCACCTTGGCCAGCAGTGGGTCCCTCTTGGGTCCCTCTGGCATTGGCTCTGTCGGACATGGGGGAAGCTTCTGGCAGCTTCTCACAGAAGCCCCCCCTGTAGCCCCCCACTACCAAACCCTTGCCATACAAATCCAGTATAGTGTCCAACAGTGAAACAGCTTTTGCAAGGAAAAGCTGCTACAACCAGCTCTGCTCTCACTTCCCTGAGGAGGGGTCTATATGACATTACCCATGACCAGCGGCCATTTGGGGGGTTGCTGGATGGTGTTTTTCCAGGAGAAATTAGTTGTGAGTTAATGGCTGGCATCACTGAACTATCTAATAGATACAGCGTGGGTTGTTATTTGTAGAGAAGTCAAGGACCAGAAGAGCTATAGGGACTGAGTAATCATTTCCCTCTAGGGAGAAGACAGCTAGAGGGGTACACTGGGAGAATTTGGGGCAGTTTAATCATTCTTCTGCCTTATCTTCCCCTCTGCTTCTTCCCTGCTTTCTTATCTTGCAATACAAGGGACACACTCTGTGCAGAAAGAGAGGACAACTGCAGATCCACAGGGCCTGTGATCCGCTCAGCATCTTAGGGCTGTGCTGTCCAGGTTGGATGTGAAGGATGGAGGGGAAGGGACCCCTTTATTCGCAGTCCCTTCATGTCTTTGTTCACTTGGCACTCTCTGGGTGAGACTGAAATAGAGATTAGGGAGAGCTAAACTGAGGTGT